GTTATTAGATGGGTGGCTAGGACAGCCAATATTGAGGCTGATGGGTTGGCTAAGTCTGGTATTGGTTAATTTTTCTTTGTTGTTGGGATATTTTATTTTGGGTTTTTAGGTTGTTTGTAAGGGTTTTATCTTATTATTGTATCTTATGTATCTTTATTAATAAAGTTTAAGGCACTCTTTTCCTCCTTCCTCCGATTTAGGAATTCAATATGAGTTCCTTAAATCATGAAGGGGGTTTTTAATGAGGCCTCAATTCCTATAAAAAAAAAGTAATTAACTGTATATCTCTTTCAGCAATGTCAATATTACAGTTCTGACTGATGATATATGCCACATAGCAACTTGTGGATGTGAAAGTAAAGAACTTACACAGAAACTGGAGTTGGCTGCACAGTAACTTGATCAGGCTGCACACAGAAGTGAAAGAAAAAAGAAATTGGCATTAATTTGAATTAGCATCTGAGAAGCCACCAGAAAATACAGATGCCAGGGCAAATTGATCATAGAAAATTTTCTATACAGAAGAACCACAGAAACTGATTTTTGACTTCAAGACAGCTACTAGTGGAGAGCCAGAAATAATATCATATATACTTCACAAGTACACACAAATGCGAATATGCAAATATTTTTAGTTTTATATCAACTTAATCAATGTGGAATTTTCTGATTAACTTAAACAGTATCATATGATTAATGTTTGATACTCCAACATTTTCTGGCTGTTCTATTGTAAATGAAATTTCCTATAGCATCCATTAAAGAATGCTAATCAGCCAATATTTGGGAAATTTGTTGAAAACCGTATCAGTCAATTAAAATGCCTACAATCAAAAAACTGGTTCACCCCAACAAAGTTACTAATAGAAAACATATGCATGCATATCCACATGTACCTCCTCTTTAAATCCAGCAGGTTTGTCATAAGTCGACTCTCCTGTTAATGCATTATAGTAATAAATAACCCCCATGTCAGTCTTATGGGCGGTCCAGACATCAGATTGTTCACTGAAAGCAGTTTCAGCTTTGGTGCTAACATCATGGACTAGTTTCCTATTATCTGCAGAACCCCATTAAATACGAATGAATAAAAAATTAACTTCATGATGCAATAATGAAAGTTAAACAGTTCTTACATTGTTAGTTGATCAGTAATCTAGCATGGAAACCCTGAGCGTACCAATTCCTTGAGGTAATCCTGCCTGGATTGCCGATGGTTGATTAGCAAGAGCAGCAGTAGATGGTGCAAAAGGACTCATTCCCAGAGGTCTAACACCAGGAGGTAGAGAATCAGATGATGGTGCAGGAAGAGGCATACCACCTGATGTTGAAGGAAAGGGTCCAGGATAAATAATAGGGTAAGGCACAAACGGAGGCCTGGGAAAGCCACCTATTGGATGATGTTGCATCCAAAATCCACGTGGGGAAGAAACCATAGGAGCTAAGGATGCATAGGGAGGATATGTTTGTTGGACAGCTGGATTTAATGAAACAGGAGCACTGGGTCCAGGAACTGCAGGAGAGGGATAATCAGCAGCAGCCGAGGCAGTAATCTTCTGGACAGATGGTACTAACCCAGGGTGTGCTGGTGCTCCTGGAGTTCCAGAAGATCCACTACACATGGGGAAAGATGGAGTGGCAGGCATCCATGAAGTTATAGGAGCAAAATTCGGAGTGGTAGATGCATTCACTGTAAAATTTGAAGAGTTATGGACCGGCATTTGGCCAGGCTGAGAAATAGTTAACGCAGATGATACAGGAGCAGCTTGTGTACCAGTGGCTGGTGTATCCTGCAATCAGCAAAAAAGTTCCAACTTGCAAGACAGTGGCACAAAAGAACTCCATATCAAATCCGTTCTGTAGATGCATAAGCAATTGCTAGACACCATTTTGCAAGCAGTGAAGTACTAAATTGAGATTGGGATTGAAAGAGATTGCACATAATTCAAAGGCTGAACGGGAACCATGTTAGGAAGTACTGAACTAATACCAACTACAGCTATAACTGCATTCAGAATCCATTCAATGAAATCTGATGACAACAAATAGAGCTTAAAATTGAGGCATACTGTTTATTTCCTACATATTTTAAATTCCGCAAAATTCTATGTCACGTCCACCATTCGAAAATATTCTTGACACCGCAAAGCTTCCTAAAAATTGCTACAAACAATCCAAACTTGCGGAAAATCCCTACTAGCTGTAGGTCAAAGAGTAATGAGCATTGAAATTTTTGAAAACTTAACCCGAGTATGACAAAGTGAAATTACAATTCAGTACTTTTATCATTGTCTTACAGATTTAGCGGGTTGATTTTGTGCATTCTGAACCAACTGAGGATTTGGAGAAAAGGAAAAGCTTGCAGAACTCGACAAGGCTCCTTGCGGAACTGGTACAGGAGGCTGCATTATCGATGAAAAAAACTGAAGGAAGAATTTGAATGATGATACAAGCAAAGATACCTGGAGGAGGACCAAGATGAACGGGATCAAATACAGTAAAAGTGTATAAAATAAACAAAATGAAACTAAAAAAATAAAACCATATCGACAGTCAATTAAATCAGAATCACTAGATTGCGTGATTATTCATCAATTTTTTCCTTTGGAACAATAAGTTTGAACATTGATAAACAAAATTACGGATGATTCAAGTAAATAACTTACAGGATTCTCTGAGACAACCGAGAAACCTTCATTCGAATCCGTCTTGGTATCAAAAGGAGGAAGAGAGACGATGGCTTTAGCCAAGATCCAAATAGAGTATTAGGGTTAGGGTCTGAGGCTTTGGAACTAAACAAGTAGAAACTAAAAGGAAAAAGGATATTAAATTACTCACCGTGTCGCCGTTGTATTTCTCTTTAACGTTAGTAGGAATTTTACGTTACTCGTATATAGGGATGGCAACGGCCCGGGTTCGGTATTGGTTCCTCGTCTCCGTTTTCGTATAAAAAATTTGTATCTGTTTCCGCTTAAAAAATCATGGAGATTTAAACGGAGATTCACTTCGGGTAATCGGGAAAACCATGGGAAAATAGGTATCTTCGTTTAGCATAAGCGGTTATTTAAACGAGTATCGGGTCGGATATATATATATTTAAATTAAATATATAAATATTATATATATATATATATATTAATTTAATTTAAATTTAATTTATAAATATTATATATATTTTTTAATTTAATTTAAATTAAATTTATTAGTATTATATATATAATTATTATTTTTAATATTTATCGGGTCGGGTATCGGGCCGGGTATCGAGCCGGATAATTAGGTAATCGGGCGGAGATTACCAAACCCGTCCCTATCCCTGTCCCCGTTTAGCATAAACGGTTTTTCCCTGTCTCCGTCCCCGTTTAGCATAAACGATTTTTCATCATCCTCGTTTAATTCGATTTTCGATTTTTCCTGTCGGATTTAGGTTTTTTTATCATCTCTACTCCTATATATATAAACTATATACTTAATCATACAATTATCGTTTTAATTTTGTTTTAACTATACAATTATTTTCTTTCAAAATCATAACTAATAATATTTTTTATTTTATTTTAATCATTTATCATTAAAATATTAACATAACTACTAACGTAATATTTTTTGTTTTTCAAAAATAATGTGGCACTACTTTATGTTGACACGTCACTATCGTTAATTTTGAGTTATAAAAACATATTGACTCTACGAATGATAATAAGGATAGAAAATGAATGATTAAGTGATGATAATGATCTAAAGAAATTATGAGAACAATGATAACAATAGTGAGAGACAACAGTTAAGTTTTATGTTAAAAAATGTCTAATAATTATTCAGATTGAATCAATTTGAAATAACATTTGATTTTTAATTTTGAGATAGATGAAATACTAAATCATTCAAAATATGTTTGAATTAAATAAAAAATATTTTCTCAAATTAAAATTGAGATAATAAAATATCTTGACTCTACGAGAAGAAAAAAAATGTCATTGTAAACTAAGACCTAAATAAAGCTATCAAAAATCGTCCTTTAAATGAAGTTATTAAATGTAGTTTTTAAATTCAATTTTTTAATAATAATATTTTCTTTTATATCATTGAGACTAATTCATTTTAAAAAAATTAAAATATTATAATATTATTTTGATATTATAATAATTTATAATATTTTATAATATTTTAATAAATTTAAATAATATTAAATAAATCAACATTGATTTTATAATAATAAAGGGGAAAAAAAAGAACACAAAACAAGCCCACTATGTTTGTGTATGTAACATAAAGAACACACATCACCCACTCAACTAGGAAGGACAAAACAATCCGAACCAGATGGGGAAATTCAAAACCTAGCTAAGTTCGGGTCGGGTTTAAATAATATCGGATTGAATCGGATATCGAGATAAAATTCGATATTTTTTTTGGGTTCGGAAATGGGACAAGATATCCATGTCCCGCCCCGATTATATATATATATATATAATTTTTATAATTTTTATATTAATTATAAAAATTATAAAAAAAATAAAATTTGGTTGATTTATTGATAAATTTCTCGATGTATGGAGCTACCAAAGAAAGTGAAAAAAGTGGCACGATGATTTTGGATGATTTTATTTGACTTAATATTACGTATGCATCTTCGTTATATGATTTGAATATCGGAACAAGTTTGTATTTAATTATGTACGTGTTTTATTTTAGAGTTTAGACAATTATTTAAAATTAGATTTGAATTTTTGACTGTAGTTTGAATTGTAAATCATGTAAACTAATTTTTCAGTTTTTGGTGATCATTTTTTTTATTTTTTATGAAAATTACGGATGCTAGATTTTTCTGGGATCATGTCGAGTTCAAATTCGAGTAGGGACGGGATAAAAAAAATCTCTGACAGGAAACGGGATGAGAACAAAGACGGAGATTCATTTCAGGACTAAGAGCAAAACCCACCCATAGCCATTCCTACACTCAATATCTCATTACAATTTCTCCCTTCTTTTCCCTTTTCCTTCAACTTGGTTTATTATTGTTTTTTTTTTTAATTTCCTCCTTCCATTAAGTTCTCTTCCTTTTTAGCTTATAGCCAGCCTTCCAGTTTTCTTATATAATTTACTTTCATCCCCTTAGCCCCTAATCTCTTTTGTGGCGGCTCCTCCTCTCTCCCTCATTGCATAGTCTTGAATCCTTCTTTTATTTCATTATTTGAAAGATTCGATCTAATAAAAGAAGGATCTTTTCTTCTGTTACTTTTTTTGGGGATCTTTGTTTTTTTTTTTTTGAAGAATCCGCCATGGTAGCAACTACGCCACAACAACAGCAGGGGGCGACGACGGTGATGGGTGCTACAAAAACATCGGCCGAAGAAGAGGCTTTGAAGAGGAATACAGATTGCGTTTACTTTCTCGCTTCCCCTTTAACCTGCAAAAAGGTTTTCTTTTTCCCTTGGTGTTTGAAACAAAGATCTTGTTGTTTCTGGGATCCCGCTTTAGTACTTAAGTTAGGGTTTCAGATTTAATTCACTCGCACTTTTCGATTGCTGTTTGTTTAGTTATATATTTAACTTTACATTAAAAATAAATAAAATTAATCGGAAAAGCGGATTTATTTGTTGTGTTCTGAGCTGTTAAAAGGTTAGATCTTGCTAACTTATCTTAGTTTCTTTGTGGTAAAGCCTAAGTTAAAAATATAGGTTTTCTTGGCTGAATTAATGTTAGCTTTGGGGAATTGATTTAGTACCGTGTTGTATTTCATATGGCACTGTTACGGCTTTAAGTTACTCGTCCAAAAGATGGGGGAAACATTGATGATACTTCGGGTAAACTCTTTCTAATTGTTAAAAGAAAAGTAATTTTAGGATCTGCTGTTTTACCATTGTGATGTGCTTATCCTGCTATCTATGATAGAATGTTTCGATGCATCATCTATAATATTGTCACTATGAGACTGTTTCTATTGTCATCTGACTGCAGTTTGAATTAAGAACCAATTGTGAAGTAGCTTTTGATACACGTCTTCATCTTTTTTGTTTATGGATAAGAACCAATTGTTTTAGGTGGCATCAAGTTGTTTTATGATTTACTTCATTAATTGTAAGATGCTGTGAGTGTAGTTACTGTGCTTCTATTAACCTTTTGACATCAATGAATGTTACCGTAACTAATATTTATTTTATTTTCTATGCCAATAGGGAAGTGAATGCGAGTATCGTCACAGTGAATATGCCCGTGTTAACCCAAGGGATTGCTATTACTGGTTGAATGGGAATTGCTTGAACCCAAAATGCGGATTTCGGCATCCTGTAAGTTTCTTCTCTTCTCTTGTACCAGTATTATTATCTCTTTGTTATGCTAATGTTACAGGTTTCCAGTGGGAGTCTTCTCGGCACTATATCCAGCTATTTCACCTATACTGTGATGTACATTGGACTGGTTTTGACAATGCTCTTGTTCTTTTGACGTTGTCTTTTCAGCCCCTTGATGGCTTGATGGGAACCCAAGCAACAAGTCCAACAGGTTCCTCAAAGTCTTCGTTGCACACAGCAGCAACTACAGCGCTTTCTAGTCATATGCCTTACAGCCAGGGTGCTTCTTACGGCACCAGCAAACAACCGGTGCCATGTATTTTCTTCCAAAAAGGGCTTTGCATTAAAGGTGACAGATGTGCTTTTTTGCATGGTCCAACTACAAATAATAAAGCCATGCAACCAGCGGCAACTACCACTTTGAGTGAGTCTCATTCTTTGAAGAAGACTTTTGGTGCCGTTGAAGCACCTCAGCCACGGAAGTTTCCTCCATTTAATGTTTCAAATACTGTTGGAATAGCTTCTGAAAATAAAACTGCTGCTAAAGTTAAAGCTGCTTTCACTAGGAGTGGTACTGGAAATGAGAAACATGTGCCTCACACAATTGATGAGGTACTTCCTCGACATAGAGCAACAAAAACTACTTCAGTTGTTAATGGCGGCTCTATGGTCCATTCTAACCGCATGCATCAGGCCCGTGCTTCAGATGAACCGCGTTTTCATGGTAAGGACACTGATGAATTTTTGAGGGAATCTTCTCCTGGTTTTGATGTTCTCGTGGATGATGAGCTTAGAGATTCTGATTTCTACCATGTTGAAGGCCAATATGGAGGTACAAGACGACTCGAGGGCAGGAATGTGAATGAATATGACATTGGTCGATCTGCTAATTTTGATGCCACGGCTGATGTTGATCAAGAAATGTTTCATGATCAATGTGGCTACGATTCATTTGACCATGTACAAGGGAATTATGATTGGAACCAACAGAGGGCTTCATCTGAGAGGAAACCTCTGGGATCATCTACTTTTGAGAGAAGGGGTACCTCAAGAGTTGATACTCCTGATCATGTTGAGGAGTCAGACCTTCGACATCGTTTGGCTAAGTGTAGGAGGGTTAATGGCCTGAAATCCGTTGTCAATCATGATCAAGCCCTGGAAAATTATGAAGGGGAACGACCTTACCGGGGTTCTTCACATGAGAGGTCCCTGAGCAGTCGTCTTCATGGTAGAATAAAGCTTCCCGGGAGATCTGTTGGCCATGGACCTGATTTACCTTCAGAAAGGGAGATGGAAAGAGGGAAAAACTGGGGACGACACTCACCAGGAAATCCTCAAACCCCTTCCCAAGGTAGGCTTCATGACAGAATAAAAGGAAGGCTGGAAGGGGAATTCAACAACAATGAAGGTCGAAATTTCAGTGGCCCAAGGATTAGAAGAGAAGTAATGGATGAGAGGAGCTCTGAGTTTGCAGGTCCAAAAAGTCTTGCAGAGCTGAAAGTTGGAAAGAACACTGATAATAAGGAGCACCAGTCTCTTGGAAAGCGAAAGAGCATTGTAGATCGTCAACAAACTGAAGGCGATCTTTCATTCAAAGGGCCAATGCCTCTTAGTGAGATTCTGAAGAGAAAGAGACAATCAGAAGGTGTAGCTTCAGGGAATGGTATAGCATCCATAAATAAAGAAGACGTTAAACAAAAACAAAGCAAGGGAAGCTTGATTAGCATTTCCAATAACAAAGAAGCATCAGTGACACTGAAAGGGGCAAACAAAGAGGAAGAATCCAGTCCCACAACTGCAGATATCGGGATAACGAAAGTCACTCATGGTGAATCTTCTCAACCACTCAACACGAGTGAGGTCGAGGCCGAGGATGGGATCATTGGAGATGAGAGCATAGAAGATCATGAATATGAGGCAGATGACCAAAGGGAAGGAGAGAATTATTATGAACAGGTTGATGAAGGGGAATATAACTATGAGGAGGGTGAAAATGTGGACGCTGAAGAGGAATACATAGAGGAGGACGAAGATGGTGATGACTTTGAAAAGAAACTCGGTGTCATGTTTTCATGAGGATGGTCCCTCGGATAGACTGCTTCAAGCTTTTCTCCCTATGATTAATGCCGGGTTTTATGGAAAAGATCCATTGAAGCTGATTTAGGTTTTGCTTCAAGTAAGAGATAGCTCAACTATATTGGAATTTCATTGTAGAAGTAGATAAAACATTAAGAGCAAGCTCATTGTATTTAAAAGCTTTGACTGATATGAATTTGGATCCCTGCTCTGCTTGACAGCCCTTCTGTTACTTGTGCTCACCATTTGATTATTATTAAGTGAATGACTGCCAAATAGTTTTTTTTTATTAATCTCTAACTCTATATCATTCAAGGGTAAATTACACCCGAGGTCACCACTTAGCACCAACTAGTTTATTTTTTTTCTAAAAGTTACAAAATATGTCAGTCACCAAATAATAGTTCATTTTTTTCCTTAAAAATTACAAAATATGTCAATGAAAATATTATAAAATATGTCGATACATTTAATCAATTTTATTTTAATTTAATAAATTTACTTTTTATATTTAAAAATCAATCAATTTAATTTTTTAAAGAAATTATTAGATCAAACCAGTTAATTGATTCAAAACCATAATTTAGTAAATGTATTTTATCATGAAACAATAATAATTATTAAACTAAAATAATACAATTTTTAAATAACAAAATAAAATAGGATAAACAAATAAAATATTGAACACAATCATATGTTATCTCCAATTACTTATTTCTATAGTCAATGAGAATTAAATTACTTTTTTTTACTTTAAAAATAATTTACTTATTATAAAATTATTAGCATCTCCAATTTACTTTGATCAAAATAAATTTTAATGGTAAGTTAAATATTATTTGTAAGTAATAAAAATGGATTTTTAAATTAATTTTGGTTATCAAATTTAAAATGTTAATGGTAAGTAAAGATAATATGGAGGCGCCGTGAGCTTAAATACTCAAAGTAGCTTACGAAAAGGAGAAAAAAAATAAAAGTCAAACCCTAGTGGTTTGGGAAGAGGTGTGGAGAGCAAAGAGCGAGGTTTGGGTTTCAGGTATGGTTTCAGGCTTGGTTTTTTGTGTTCTTCCCATTTTGGTTCTGTAAATAGCCGTTAATAAGATCAAATTTTGATCTTCCCGCACTCCCAATCAGAGCAAAAACAAGGAAACCCTAAAGTTAGTCGATACAATCATGGCGTTTTCTTTTAAACTGTCTCTTTGCATTTGTCTTTGGCAGCCTACAGCGACGAAGCGAAAGAAGGAAGTGTTGAATTAGAAAAGTATGGGGAGTAGGCTTCCAGTTCAACACTACAGTAATTCCTTCATCGCCACTTCTCTTCACGATCTCAACACCGTTGACTCTCGCCCTTCTGAAATCGACGCCGTCGATGCTGCTGATGCTTTGGATCACCACGATCACGACCATCCCGGTTCCGCTACTGTTGTATGAATACACCACCATTTCTTATTTATTATTAATGAAAAATCTTGATTTTAAATTTTTTTGGTACCAGGAGTGTTTGCATGAATCTTATAGAGATTCTTTGACAATTCATGGCGTTGGAGCGGAGGAAGAGGAGCGCTCTAGCATAGACAATAGCGACTCTTCTAGAGGAGCTTTCAGTATTTTGACAATTGAAGGTATAAAAATATTTCGATTTAATTCTTTAGGCTTCATTTGATGATTTGATTTATTTAGTACTGATTTCTAACATGATTTTCTGTTATTTATAAAAAAAATTATTTGATTTTTCCGCTTGGAATCAAGTTTCAAAATTTTAATTATTTAGAAGTGTTATTGTTTTTTTCAACCCATATGCAATTTTTCCGTCTTTTTACATTTGAAATTGATCATAAAATTATGTGACTGGGAATTGATGGTTTTTAAACCACAGAAGTGTTATTGTTTTTTTCAACCCATATGCAATTTTTGCCGTCTTTTTTACATTTGAAATTGATCATAAAATTATGTGACTGGGAATTGATGGTTTTTAAACCACAGATGTTTCGCCTATTGAATCAGCTAGGGGCAGATTTTTGCAAATCATAGTGGATAACTTCATTAATGACCATGTCATTGAAGTGGTTGATAATGAGTCGCCTGCCGACTATAATGCTCAGTCAGGACAAGACAAACTGAATAAGAGAAAGACAAGAGATGTACAATATGAAGGTGATCCTAGGTTTGCTTTGCCCTTAATGTATGTTGCCAATTTGTATGAAACCTTAGTTAATGATGTAAACTTGAGGATTGCTTCCTTGAATGGCATCCGCGATAAGACCATTGGGGTAGCCCTTGAAGCTGCTGGTGGATTGTACAGAAGATTGGCTAAAAAATTTCCTAAAAAAGGTAGTATATTGGTTTCCTCGATATTATGAGGATAATGTCTCCTTACATTTCTTTAAAAATTAATCTGGCCCCTTTATTTGATTATAGGTTCTTATATGTATAAAAGAAGAGAACTTGCAACATCTCTTGAAACAAGGACAAGGTTTCCAGAATTAGTTATACAAGAGGAAAAGAGAGTTCGTTTTGTGGTTGTTAATGGTTTGGATATCATTGAGAGACCAAATAATGTGCCTGTTGAGGATGCCGAGTGGTAAGTTATTCACATGGATTTATTTTCTTTACATATGATTGATTATATGTCCTGGTCTTTATCAGCGTGGCTCCTTTTTCTTACTACTTTATCAGTGCCATGTGTGTACTATTTCTTGTTTATTTGGCCAATTGATTTCCCCTAAGGAGCATTGTGTATGCCCCTTACATAAGAATCAGTTTGTTGCTTTTCGTGTAATCAAAATACAGAAGTTAGCCCACTTGGTTGTATCGATCTTTCCATTTATTAGCCGGATTCTCATGACATGTGTTAGTGCAGAAATATTTTTTCCATGCATTATAGTTTGTTTTAAACACTTTCTTAACTGCTGACAAGTCATGGCATTTGGACTTTGAGGATTTTGATAGAGATTTTCCCATAAGCATCCTGCCTTCTGTCTATGTTTCTATTTGCTGAAGGTTTAAACGACTAACGGGTCGGAATGAGGTTGCTATCTCCGCTCAAGACTATAAGTTCTATTCTCCAAGGCATAAGTATAGGCGCGTATCATCAAACACAGTGTCCAACATCCCTTCCTTGCCTGTAAGATCCATACCCTCTTTTCTGACTCGATTCTTTATCTTTGAACAATAATTCTAGTTGGATGTTCCTTGAAATCTAATATCCAATATGCCTTAGAACACATAAGGGGGTGTTTGGTTCAAGGATTGTGGGATTCTCATGGGATGGGAATCCCACATTCCCATGTTTGGTTGGCCGGGAATCTCATTCCCGGTAATGTTTTATTACCAATAGTAGATTTTTTGGGGTATATTACCGTGAATGTCATTACCTCCCTTCCCTTAGGTATTGTAACATTACCGGCGTTTTGGACTAAAATGCCCTTAAATTTTTATATTTTTTCAAAAATATCATTCTTCTGTCTTTGAATAATAAAAATTCTACGAAGGTTAAATTACAAATTTATCCTTAAATTATTTTAGATTTACAAAAAAAAATCTATAATTAAAATTTTATATAAAGTTCATGGGTTAAATTTTTTTTACCCTTTCATTAAACCTTTTTATATTTTTAATTTTGTAAAAAAATTATATAAATATTATGAATTTAATTTTTTAAAGAAAATATATAAATATTTTACAATTTGTAATATTATACAAATATATAAATAAGGACAATTTGGTCAAATATACATTCCAATAATCTTTTATTCATTTAACCAAACACGGTAATCTTATATTCCTGCTAAACCAACCAAACACAAAATACAACATTCCCAGTAATCTTATTCCCTGATAATCTTTTATTCCCACTGGTAATCTTACATTTCGTGAACCAAACGCACCCCAAGAGTTTATGAGTGTGTAAGTCCATATTACTAACTATGACATAAACCATAACCACTTAGTACATATCATACTGGTGCATTATCTATTTGAGGATTACATGTAATTAAGTCCCCCTCTCCTCTCTCCCTCCATCTCTGTAATGAGATATGATGCAATCATATTAAAATTTTGCAGGATTACACCGGCGCAGATAGTTCCGCGTTGCCAAATCCTCAAGGGTTTCACCCTGTCAATGAAGTAAGAGCTCTCCTATGAATAAGTATAGGCACGTTTCTGATACAGTTGTTTTGGCTGGAGTTTCCAAACAACAGAATTTAATTTAGCATGAAGAAAATGTCTTACATATTCTAGAAGTTTTAAAGGGCAAAACATTGAGGATAAGAAGATTTTTCTGTTTAGGGTTTCTGTTCTTGGACCTTTATTTTCTTTGAATTTAAATATTCAGTTTGAAGAATATTAGTATTTAGTAATTAAATATGATAACAATTTATGGGTTCTTGCATTGCAAAGAAGTGTGTCTACGTTTAAATTAAGCATCTCATGTTCTATGGTATTCAAGGATCAAAGTGACTTGGAGATAACACTGCTTTGAAAAACTGTTTCAATTATTGCAGAATCAGCAGCAGACTCCTTCAAAACATCATATACCTACGATGGCACATCAGCCCCATTATCATACTATTCACCAGAACCATCATCAGCCAGTTCACCAGAACCAACATCCTGCTCATTTTCCCCCGAATCATCAATGTGGGACACCATCACACTTACCCGAAATTAATCACTCTCACCAGTCGCCGACCATGCCTCAACATATAGTTTGCTTACAACCCCTAGCAGGAGGAGATCACGTTGGAGGACGCTTGCATGTTATGGTGAGGGATTCTATTTGGCCTTTTCCAATCTTTCAATTGCACGCTTGCATCTTTTGGGTTCCATGTTAACGCATGTTTATGCGTCTGTCGATATAAAAATCAAAATATACTCTGAACTCCCTTGAAATGCTTACATTTCAGCCTACAAATCCACCCAAATACTGCGATGAATGCGGGGCGCTATACCTGAGGGAAACATCCAAGTTCTGCTCGGAATGTGGTATAAAGAGGATAGGGATATGATGCAGTTCAATGTGCACCCAAAGTCAACAGTGATGTTATATACATTGCTTGATGTTGGTTTTTGGTTGTTTCCAAATAATCATCATCGAGTCATGAAGTTCGAATAGTTTGTTCCTGAAAAGATACCCTCACATAGCTAGAACTCGAAACTCTCGACTTGGAAAAAGACATTTTTAGACCTCCATTGTATGAAAAAGAATGTATGAAGTAGTTTAGTCCGAAAAAGGAAGCTCAGGACAATATTGTATATATAAACATACTTTTTTAGGGTTAATTCTTACTGTGATCTAAAATTTTGTTTGATGATTTTGGGGAAATATATGTTGTTTTGTGGGAAATTTTGTGTTAGGAGTTACATGAAGACGATGACAAACAAATAATCACACAAAAGAAATTAACTACAATCTTAAATGATGATATTAATAGTTATAAGAGCTTTTCGAATTCACAGGCTTTATTTATAAGAATTCTTAAATTTAAATTTGTTAAAGTTTAATTATACTATTAATTGTTTTATTATATATAATTATAAAATTAGTTTATATTAGTCAATTTAATCATTTTAAGTATCTATACTAATCAATCTGGTTAAAATTAATTAAATTAAAATACTTGGAATGAATCTGACCCCCTCATGAATGCTCAACAGTACTGCAATGGATTCTTCAATCTCTCGAACGAATCTCATCGAATAACAGACCTAATTTTTAACTAATTAGAAAGCCTTTGAATTCTCAATAGAAATACAGTAGACCTTCATTCTTTGCCTCAGTCTCCTACTTCGTCTCTTTCAATATTGAGAAAACCAAAGATTCCAAGAATAAATAACCCTAAAACACCCTCAGCCATGAATACCGCACTAGCCACGTTGTCATCACCACGCCTCACTTTCCTCCCTCTGAAATCACCTTCTTCGTCTTCTTCGTCGGCTTCGTTTCTGGGTTTTCCTTCACCCAAGCCCCTCAGGCTCAGGGCTTGTTCTGCAAAGCTTGATTCCGTTCCTGTTTCTGAGACGAACAGCAAGAACCGACCCCTTGCTCAGAAGCTTCAATCCTTTGCCAAGACGGCTGTTTTGGTCGGTGCCACCGCTTTAATGGTTGGGAAATTCTCCAACTTCCCTGCCAAGGCTGACCCTGCACCAGCAATGGTTGAACAAGAACCTGCTTTTCGGGAAGAAAAGGAAGAGGCGGGGAAAACCCAGGACGCAAAGCAGAAGCAAACTTCACCACTTTCTGAGTTTCTGGAATCTAACGAGGAAGCCTTCGAGGCATTGAAGTCACTCTTATACCAGAAGCTCGAAAACCACGAAGACGAAGAAGCGCTTAGTATTTTGAATCGTTTGGTTTCTGCTCAACCTGAGGTTACGGATTGGAAATTCTTGTTGGCGAGGTTGTTGGGCGACATGGGTCAAAAGGAGAATGCACGCAAAGTGTTTGAGGAAATTCTTCAGTCGAATCCCTTCTCTTTTGAGGCATTGTTCGAGAATGCTTTGTTGATGGACCGTTGTGGGGAAGGAGAAGCCGTGCTCAAGAGGTTGGAAGAGGCTTTATCCCTTGCCCAAGAAGAGAAGAAAGACAAAGAAGCCAGGGATGTTCGGTTCATAATTGCCCAGATACAATTCTTGCAAAACAACGTGGAAGGAGCTTTTATGACTTATCAAGAATTGGCCAAAGAAGATCCCAGTGATTATAGGCCGTATTTTTGTCAAGGGATGATATATACTTTGCTTGATAGGAATGATGAAGCCAAAGAACAGTTCGCAAAGTACAAGAAGCTTTCACCAAGGAAGCATCAGGTGGAAGGGTACTTGAGGACACCCTTATCAAAAATGAAGTTGTTTGACACCAATGAGGAGAATTGAGTTTTGGAGGTTTCGGGAAATTTTCTGGCATCCTGGTGGTATACAGTTCTTGAGTAGTGTGTGCTTCATTAGACCTTTAAGCCTTGTTGGAAACTGTACAAGCGATATCGAAACTTCTATGTAAGTTTCAGATGATCACTTAAAGAAATAAAGTGATGAGTTGTTTTATTTTTTTCAAATGGATTAATTGTTTTTGCAGTTTTGGCTTCGATAATATACCAAATTGCTTGGCTTCACTGTTATGCGGTATATGATTTACATAATCTTTCTTGCTTTCGATTCGGCAATAAAATTTAGAATCTACTGAGACTTTCAGAGAGGTTGAGGTTCAAAAAACACTTTACAACTTCAGACTATAGGTTCGAAAAACACATTACCCTCTAGTATTTCATGAATGCTTATCTACATTCGATTTTGGCCTCCATTCTTTTTTTCCCCCCTTAGATTTATTATTGGCTTGGTGTTTGGGATTGACAGTAGCTTCTGAAGTTGGCTTCTTGCCCTTGCTACATTTCTCACCCTTACATATACTCTCTTTCACACAACAATGGTGATCGGATTCCTAGGATATATGGGTTTCATCTTTTTCTACTTTCGATTTTGGCCTCCACTCTTGTTTTTTCTTAGATTTATTGTTGCTTTGGGGTTTGGGATTACCAGTAGCTTCTGAAGTTGGCTTCTTGCCCTTTCTACATTTCTCACCCTTACATCTACTCTTTTTCACACCACAGTGGTCACAGGGTTCCTCGGATACATGGTTTTCATCTTTTTCCAAATAACGTTGCTCACGCAGAAAAGGCACCATTGCAGGCCACCCTGAATGCAGCTCCTCGCAAAGGGCACCGATTATTGGAATGCTACTTTCGAGTTTCAGCCTACTGAAAAAGAAATGGAGAAAGCAGTGGGAAGTTTTAAATATATTTCACTAATCATGCGCAAAACGGTATCTTTCAAGCAATGCATGAAATTAACCTCAGTTCTAGTATATTATGCAGTCGCTTCATTAGATTGAGCATGCTGATTGCATCCCTCAAAAAGTCTTCACCACCTGCAGGTTTCTTCTGCTGACATTCTTTTATACCAGCATCGATGACGAAGACAAGTTTTCCTAGATATACCTAAAAAATACATCAAATAACAATAAGCATTACCTAAAAAATACATCTCCTAGATATACCTAAAAAATACATCAAATAACAATAAGCATTACCTAAAAAATACATCAAAATAACAATAAGCATGATCCAAACGGTGAAATAATGCTAGAAACTAAAACACAAGGAAAACGGCAAGATATCAGAGCTCATCTAATGACATGCATATAAACATTAACCTCAGTGAAGTAAATAAGATAATATCCTTTGATCTTTGATACCATCAACTGCCTTTAATGCTTCAACAAGCTCCTGAAAATGATCAAGGTCACCTCTCAACCTTGCAATGTTTGCTGCCTCCACGAAGTTCCATGCTCCTTCCTCCGATAAACGTGTTTCTATAGTAACCGTATCCTGGATGCAATTGATGTTAAGCATAAGAGTTACGAGAAACATTATTTTCCATGCCCTGTGTTTGGTCCCTATTCCTTTATAAATGTTTCTGGAAGAGAAGAAATGGTTGGTTTGGGGCGTAGCTGCAGGAATATGGTTAGGTAGCTGTCGTGCAGGTGTTGGTGCAATCTCTGTTCAAAGGTAATTATTTAATTATCATGAGCCTAATTTTGAATTATGTATGTATTTGGATAAGTTTGCTTATATCTGGATAATTAATTTTCTGGCATATGCTGCATTGGCCTTAAAGAAATCATTTTGAGGGTTAGATGAGGCCTTTTCAATTCACTTCATACTAATATCAGAAAGAAATATCCTTGTAATTTTAGATTGATTTATTTTTGTTGCTTTTGCATATAGCATGGAGTAGCTCAAGAGAGAGGCTTAGTGTTGACATTATATCTCCCTATGCTGCTCAAGTTGTTGCAATTCAGGAGAAGCTTGGTAGGAATTATGAGAAAAGTGATAACTTCGAAGTGAAGGTGAAGTCAGTGGACGGGTTCCAGGGCGGTGAGGAAGATATCATAACAATATCAACTGTGAGATCCAATCATTCATGAGAAATCGGTTTTGTATCTAATTCTCAAAGAACCAATGTTGCTCTAACAAAGGCCAGGTATTTCCTTGGATTAACCTTTTCTACTCTTCAGTTTTTGGAGTTCTGTAATAAGTTGCAGTGGGTTTTTAATGCCTTTCTCGGGTACTGCCTCTGGATTTTGGGGGATGGAAGAACACTGGCCAAACATGAATCTGTTTGGCAGGGCTTAGTTCATGATGCTAAATCGCGCCATTGTTTCTTCGATGCTGATGAAGTCAAGGGATTAGCTAAAGCTATTTTTTATGCCAGGAAAGAGTTTGATCAGCTTGATGACTGACTTAATCATGACAGTGTTCTCTTCCAGAATGCTAGGGGGAAGGTTGTGACTTTTGCTTGTTAAAACTTGTTATCATTCTACTTGTTCTATCAAGTTATTGAGACTCCGTTACATTCTATATGCATTCGACACTAAGCGCTAACCTTTATTGTTTTTCATTTTCCTTGACCTCAGGTTCTTTTCAGTGATAAATTCAGAAAGTCATTTGGGAAGGTATGAAGACTTCTGCTTGAATTATTTCGGCTTGTGGAGACAATTTAAAAATTGGACTACTGTCTATCTTCTGATGAATCCCGATGCTGAATGGCTGAGAATACTGGATAACAAACAAGTTTGCAGAAACCAGAAGTGGCTTTCCATTTCATTCCGTCAATTTGTCTCGGCTGCAAGGAGGTATTGGTGCTCAGAATTGGTAGACGTTGGCCTGTAAGTCCTGAAAATGCTTGTGCGACTCTATAGTTTCCCATGCACGAATTCTTTGTCATCCTTTAATCGAAGCATGTCTCTTACTCAAATCTATGAGGTTGCACGTTTTCTCTTGTATTCCAAGTTTCTTAAGAGCCAGCATGCGCAAAAGGATTTGATGAAATTCATCAACCTGTCATCAAAGGATTTCTTTGGCTATGTATTTCCACTTGATTGTCGAGATTCGTTGCGAGAAAATATGATCTCTCTAAGGGGATCAGAAACTTCAAGAAATTTACTTGAAGAAGTCATTTTGGAATTGACCAGATCAAAATGCAACAGCTTGTCATATAGGGAAATTGGAAAGGTGGCTTTGATAATCCTTGGATCTGGTCGACTTAAGACTGAACTTTTTGGGAAGATTCTTGAATGTTTACAATGGAATGCAGCATGGAAGAACTTCATTGCAAGTCTCAAAGATGATAGAGTTTATCCTGCAGTTATTTTCAAGTTCCTTGAAGCTTTAGAATATACTTGTTGATTGGTGGAACATATTTGATTATATGTCACTAGTTTGTTTCTTGCACCTCGTTGAGCGGTATCTGATGTTGTTATCCTCCTTCAATGGATACTTTCTCACTACGAAGGCAACTTTTGTGGAGTGGTTCATCTACGAGGATGGGAGACCGATATCGACTTCCAGTTCTGTCACCATCTATCAGAAATCTTTGGAATACATTCTTAATTTTGTAATTGAAAGGGTTCAGAAGTTGCTGTATTGTTATGTTGATGCCATAGATTGGGTTGATAAGTATCATATAAATGTGGAGGACTACGACCATTTTTTCTTTTGAGATTGGTTATCATTATATGTTTGATGCATTTGAACTTTGGGAAGGGTCTTGATTTACTTGTCGACTTGCTTTGTCAAGAGCATCAAAAAAGCATATTACAGGACTACTACCCTCGGAGTTTTGTGATGCTGTTTGGAGATATAGTCTGAATATCGACGTAAATGTGCTTGCCGATGCTTTTAGGAAGATCGGAAACCCTCTTGCAATTGTGAGCATAAATGAAACTGTCCTAAATTTGAATGCAGGGATGCTATATTTGTTGATATGAAGCTCAATCCATGCAAGGAGAATATTGAGAATGTTGTTCCCTAAAACTGAGTTCTTGTTTTCATACTGCTGCTGAAGCGTTTCCTCCATCCAGTTATGACGATGGGACGAGCTCGGAGGTTGTGGCGTCTTCAACGTCGGTTACTCTGTCAGATCAAGAGCATATTATCGGCGGTGGATGTCAAAGATCTAACGAACTTCAGCTTACATGAGGGTAATGTTTGTATGCATGTCAGTATGTCTTGCTGTCTTTCTCTGTATTTTTTATTTCGTTTATTTATTTCACTGTTCTGATCATGCTTATAGTTGTTCGGGGTGGTCGGCGGTGGTGCCTTTAATGCGGCAGCCGCTCTACTCAAAGAAAGATGAAAATCATGCATGTGAAATCTGGTGATCCATCCTGATGTAGAAGAGAGTTGAGGAATGTAATAATGGCAAGAAACCAACTTCAGAATGACAAATACAATTTTATGCTTGTACGTATGTATCATTAATCACTAAGCCAACAATAATCATAATTAAATATCATTAAAGAAAGAATTGAGCAATGTCTACAAATAAAATTTGGTACGTAGAAAACAAAATTCACGATTTATCGCAATGGTTGGCGATGAGGGATTGAATAGCTCCGGATAAGTTGGTCGTAGCGGCGACAAGATCCGTCATCCCTTTGTGGTTGACTTCGTTCTGAGTTTCTTCGATCCGTAGTCGACGGTGTTCCAATTCCATCACTTGTTGGTGTCGTTTCTCTTTATTCTCTTCGCAGCTTTTAAGGGTTCGAGCTAAGACGGAGGCACTCCGCATTATGCTCGAACCGATTTTTCGAACTTTTTTACGTTTCGTCTCCGAATCCAGATTTTCACTTGACTCTGTCTCCGAGGAATCAGTCTCTTCTGCTCAATCACAATGTATACCAAATAAAAAGTACAATTAGGTGTTCAACTAAAATACAACCATTACATTTAATCGGACTTAATCTCGTTTTATAACCTTAAATGTAAATGTTTGACATGAACTACAATAAATAAAATGAACATGTCACATTATTTAAAAAATACACCGAATATACTAATATTTAATGAAGTCCACTTTTACCCCTTTCAAATCGTTAATAAACTGATCCGAAAAGTTGGAAGAATGAATCGCAAACACAGAGGTTAGAGACCAAACTAAAGCTAGGGTCTAGCATGGTCTTTTGCACCCGTTGGTTTGTGGGTAAATTTCATTTTCACTCCTACCCTAAGATTAAAATTTCAATTTTAGCCTTTTAACCCTTTAACTAATTGAAATATATAAATATATATATACTTTTGACCATTCCAATATTTTTATATTTTATTTCAGGTCCCTACACTAAATTCTAGACTTCATTATCGAACCAAAGCATGAGCAGGGCCCTGTCCTTATAGTCTTTTTAGACTAAGTCACTAAAGTACCTATAAATTTAAATATTAAAGAAGTTAACTCTTATTCTAAAATTTAAGTTTAAATATTTAATATATTCTTATATATTTAAAATTAAATAATTTAATATCTCTGAATATTAGCTTTAGGTTCCGCTCTTACCGACAAAATTTAAAACCTGTAGTGAGTTAAATCATGCTAGGATAACTTCTATGTCATGAAAATATAGAATGTATGGCAGGTCCTTCAAGCACCCACAATCATGAATGCTACTCTTCCTCACTGCTTTTCATGATTACTTCACATATAATTATATAAAATTAAATTATTAATAAAAAATACTTAAATTATAAAAAAACGATTCCTTATCACTATATATATATATATACATATATAAATTAATTATTAAATTGAACGATATATTATGTAATAATTATTCTATGAGGAAAGTAGACAGATGATTTCTCGACTATAGATCGTTATTTTATTTAATCATCTGACTATTAAAAATTATAAAATATTTTTGTGACTAAACATTATTTTTTTAGCTCCAAAATAATAACCCGACTATTCATATATTTCAAAATTATCATTTTTCATTAAAAAAAAGCTCATATGAACTAGATATTAATATGTTGATTAAGATATGATAAAATTATATTTTAATGATGTATACTTACACCATCATTATTTTTAAGCACTCGCTCGTTAACATTATATTTCAAACATTAGTTCAATGACATAATGTAAACAAAAGTTTAATTCATAAAATACAATTAAAATAATTTTAGGATCGTATTTTATTACATCCCAATCAACATATTAATATTTATCTATTACGACTGTTTATTTTTTAACAGAAGATGACGAGTTTGGAACAAATGAATATTCAAGTAATCATTTTATAATTTTGAATAGTATGATAACTTAACAAAATAACATCCTATAATTAAAAGATTATTTTATAACTGATGAAATTTAATAAAACAATAATCTATTATAAGAGAATCATCTATGTACTTTAGCGTTATTCTATAATAATTTAATAAACTGTGATATTTTAAATCATAAAATCGTGTTAATTTTAAATCGTGAATATAGAACATCAAAATCTATAAAATTGATGAAAAGAATGGGCCCCTAATAAATGAAATGGAGCAGAGTTTTCAAACCTGCAAGTTTGACTATATATGAATGTAATTATATATAAATCGCTGAAAGACAAAATACGAAAAAAGTTTTCTCTTTTGTGATTTCTGACACATTACTACTAACATGCTATACTCCAAGCATCCTGCAGCACCCCAAAATTAAAATAATAATAAAAAATAGAAAACAGTACCTGAAATTGTAACCGGAGCTTCAATCTCCGGCGCCTGCCGGTCTGTCTTACCAGCTAGTTGCTCCGGTGATTGAGAAACCGAAGGTGGCTGTTGCTGATGGGTGGTGTATTTTCTTTGAAGAACATCGTTGAGTGCTTCGAAGACTTCAGGGGACATGGTGGTGGGCAAGTTATGGAGCTTACGTTGGTGCCTGTCCATGGACCAGTAAGACGGGGATTGTTGGGAAGACGACGATGATTGGTACTGTCGAACCTTTTTGTAGTCGCGGAGGAGGTTATCCCATTTGTCGTTGCATTGGTTTTGGCTACGGAAGCAGCCGTGATCCCAGCAGTAGTTCTCGATCCATTTCCACCTTAACTCGCCTGGTTTCGACGGTGGGCTCGTGGAAGGTCTGGCACGGCGTTCGTCGTCGATTCTTTTGGCGGTGATGAGAGTTAGAGTTTCTTGGATTGTCCAGTTCCCTTTGCGGTATTCACGGTTGGTGGAGGTGGTTGGTGTGGTGATGTACGGTGGTTGGTGGTGGTGGTGGTGGGAGGTTGAAGGTAAGGACGGAGGTGGTGGTGGCGGGAGAGGGTTGGACATGGTTTAAGCATGGGTGAGAAGAGTGGGAATGTTGTGTGTAGAATTTACATGGTTTTGTTGGTTTGCGATGGAGGAAAAGGGCATATTTTTTTAAATGGATTATGTTTAGGGTAAAGTATATAAATGGTCACTAAATGTTTCAGATGCTTACATTTAGGTCCCCCAACTTTTAAAATTTTAAATACAGTCACCAAACATTTAATTCGTTTACAATATAGTCTCCAATATGACGGTCGCTTCACTGCCGTTAGAGTAAATTATGTAAATGGTCACTGAACTTTTCAGGCGCTTGCATTTAGGTCCCCAACTTTTAAAACTTGCAACACATTCATCAATTATATTCTAAACTCCAAATTCCAAAATATTTCAATTACATTCTAAACCTCAAATTCTAAAAATACTTCAATTACATGCCCAACCTCAAATTCATAATTCATTCTTAAAACATGTCATAACAAACTAAACTTGAAGCAGTAACCCTAAACCCTCAAAACATAACCCTAAATGTTAAATTTCCCACCAATTAACCCACCATAATCAACAACATTTAGTTCATAGCAACAAGTGATTATGTTGGGTTTAGGATTTAAAAACTAGATTTAACCAACTATAAGTGAACAATACTCTATTCGATTCGAAAAATTATTTTTCGACTTGAATTGATCAAAAAAATTTGATACAAATTGACTTTGAGTTGTAATTTCATAAACTCAACTTTAAAAATTTTCAAGTTAAAATCGAGTTGTAAAATACAACTTGAATATCTAAAAAAATTTAGTAATTAGTGGATTAATTTTTAAGTTTGAGTCAAGTCTCTTGACTCTGTATGATATATGCATATCACATATGGAAAAAATGAAGAAATATATGTATTGTATATGGTTAAAAAACTATTTAAATTAGAATCAAATAATATTAGAGTATTATAAATATTTATAATTAAATTTAAACAGAAACTCGAGAATTCAATTCAATTCGACTTGATTTAAATTTTATAAACTCAGATCGAAAAAAATTCGAGTCATCTATTTTATAAAATGAACTGAATTAGAATAAAATAATATTATAATATGATCAATATTTATAATTAAATTTAAACAGAAACTCGAAAATTCAATTCAATTTGACTTGATTTCAATTTTATAAACTCAAATCAAATTTTTTTTGAGTCAACTATTTTATAAACTGAATTGAGTATTTAGGTCCAACATAACCCTAAACCCAACATAATCACTTGTTTTTTTTATAAGTGATTATGTTACTTGTTGTTCACTTATAGTTGGTTAATTTTTTATGAAATGGTTATGTTTTGAGGGTTTAGGGTTGTTGCTTCAAGTTTAGTTTGTTATGGTAGATCTTGAGAATGGATTATGAATTTGGGTTTAGGCATGTAATTGAAGTATTTTTGAATTTGAAGTTTAGAATGTAATTGAAGCATTTTGGATTTTGGGGTTTAAAATGTAATTGATAACTGTGTTGTAAGTTTTAAAAGTTGGGGGACCAAAATCCAAGTGCCTAAAAAGTTCAATGACCATTTATATAATTTACCCTAACGGCAGTGAAACGACGGTTACGTCAGGGACCATATTACAAACGAACTAAATGATTGGTGATTGTATTACAAGTTTTAAAAGTTGGGGACCTAAATGCAAACATCTAAAAAGTTTAGTGACCATTTATATACTTTACCCTTATTTTTATTTAGTGTTATTTTTTTAAATAATAAAAAAGTATAAAATAATATTTATTTAGAATATTTTTTAACTATCCATAACTCATATACATTTTATATGTATAGCACCTTTTTTTTATCAAGAATATCATTTGATTAGTTTTTATTTATTTATTTATTTTTAATTAAATAAATCTATTTTGACTATAACGTTTAATTTGATACTTATATTTTTTATTTGATTATATATTTAAATTTTATTTGATATTTAATTTTTGTTATTACAAATAAATACTTGAATTTATTTTTAAATTTAATTTGATACTTACTTTTTAGTTAATTAAATATTTAAATTTAATTTCATAATTTAAATTTATATTTAAATTTAATTTTTTATCTAAAATAACACTTGTAATCTTTTAATCGATTTAAACTATAAAATTAAATTCAAATATTAATTTAAATCACAAACTATATTAATTTCAATAAAATGATCAAATTCAAATCTTCAATTGAAAAAAAAATTAGATACCACATTTAAGTTTAAAGTTAAATATAATACCTAATTAAATAAATAGAAAACTTAAATATTAAAGCAAAATTTTAAACTAAATTCAAGTATTAAAATACATATTTATCAAATTATTTTTAAGGGTAAAGAAGGGAGGCTTCATGAAATGTTATTTTACCTTCTTATACATCAAAAAAAAAGTATTAAAATCGTAGATAAGAAGGAGTACGGAAGGAGTACATGGGGTTTTCCAAAGGACGGAGTAGTAACAAACGAAGGACAAACAGTGAATATCACGTTGCTGGATTTACAGCCAGGGATGAAAAAAATATATAGATCGCTTTTAATTTGATTCAATTTAATAATATTAATACTTTTATATAAAATTTAAATTTTAGATTTGATTAATTTAAATTCGAGATTAAAACGATTTTATTATGACTTGATATAAAATAATTACGAAAATATTATTTTTATATATATTTTATTTTTAGTTAAATTATGATAAAAATGTACGAACCAACTTATTTCACTAGTTAAAAGAATCGTTAAGCTTTCATCGTCAAATGATTGGGAGTATTTAGAACAAATACTACTTTATAATCACATTTAGCTTAATAAAAAAATTATAAAAAATATATTTGTAAACATTTAATTTCTGTTAGAAATTTGATAATTTATTTTGCATAAAAAGAAATAAATTAGAGTTAGAATTTTGTTTATACAAGTAACCTGATTGATATGTTTGGCCTACCTTTAAGATTTTACTTCCTTGCACTCCGTCAAAGTCCTATCATGTTTCCCATGGAGGGGCAGCTTAGGGTTTATGTGGTAGCTTCCATTGCCTTCTACCTTTGCCTCCCAATCCCCTCACCGGCCCACCCCTTTTCGGTTAGGACCACCACCAATACTTTCACTGTTCCCACATTGCCTTTACAGTTTTGTTTAAAACTTGTGGATGAAAAAAAATAGACTTAATTTAGATTTTAAAATTAATCGAAATTGTTACGGTTTATTACAAAAATCTCATCCTGAATCACTTGGTTGTTCTGAAACAAGGATCACTTGATACATTCCTAATAAGTAATTGGCAGGTCCAATCACCTCATTGCTAGACATCCAACAAACTAGATAAACGAACTTATAATGACTCTGATATTCATTTATAAAAAAAAAAACGTCATACTTAATGTGACATCAAACACCTAATTTAGGTATAACTCATAAATATATTGATAAAGATGACAAAGAATGGCGCCCCACAATACGGTACAGAGTTATTTTTGTAAATATGTACCAGAGTTTATTTATTATAAAGAAGATGTAACCAAAACTTATGACATTTTGAATGGAAAAAAAAAATCTAGGGCCGCCCAAAGTACAGAGGACGTAAGCACATTGTTGAACCTCGTTAAAACTCTTGTTTTCTTTTCGTTTTCTTTACTCGATTATTCAACAATATATAATATATAGAAAAATCATCTCTCTCGTAGAGGGGAATTATTTATCTTTATCCCATCTTCTCTTAGTTTAAGTCTATAATCTGATCAACGTCTTTCATGAACGACCCTTATCCAAATTAAAACATGATAAACTGTCATTTATTATGTTGACCCTATTCTCAAATTGAGGACAGCTTCTGTGAAAGACCTCCGTTATGAATTACTCTCAGTGAAACTCGATCTCACGACCACAAGGTTAAGAGTCTTGCGCTCTACCAACTGAGCTAGACGAGCAATTCTACAAACTGTCATTTATTGATGTCTTCAAATAATTTTCTAATGGCTATCTATCCAAACCAGAATACAGTGGACCACATACACCCTCCCCCAACTTCCTCCCTCTAATTGCACATCATCAGATGATAATGACCCATGCACGTAGCGATATAGATAAAAGATAGGACTGTGAATAGATTTGAAAAATCCGTGGGCTTTAATACCATCCACACCATTACCATGTATGGATGGATACCTAAAAGTAGTGGCTGTCGCAAGCTTAGATATCCCAATCTTTAATACCAATTAAGAAACTGCACCAGCATTAATAATGACATTAAGAGGTGGACTCTGTGTACGTATGAATATATATATGAAAAAGTTTACTAGTTCCTCAAAAGTCAATCCCCCTCCCCTATCCTAGTAAATTAACCTTCCTTGAAGAGCAACACAATGCAAGAAGGCAAATGGGTATGATAAGTGTTTCTAAAAAAAAATATCAGAATTTCAAGATATTCGTTCTCATGCAACCGTGATCATAGAATTGGCAAGCCCCGACTACGCAAACGTTACTTTACTATCATAATCCAGCCCTCTCGAGGCTCCTGGAATTTGCCGAATCAAGTGAAACGGTTTTGATTAGGCTTCACCAAGTTGAGAATAGCAGAATGATCACATTAGCTGCAAAATGACAGAGAAATAAGAACAACGTGTGTGTATGTGTGTATATATATAAACCCATCAGTTAGGACAATCATTTCGACTGGACATCGGTCCATCACTCTGCCCTAGGAGACTACAAAATTTTGTCCCGAATTTTCAACTTGAATGAGTTAAAATCTAATGGTCCCCATTCCCTACTCCCAAAATGTTATAACATACATATCCAATTTAAACGTGTATCAGTCAAAGCAAACACCTGAATACTATAACTTAGCTCGGTTGTACAGGGAAACAATTTATTTATTTTTTCTGGATGTAATCTGAGGAGAGATTAACCGACCGGGATAAGGTAATCCATAGTTAAACACAACTCGCCAGACTCTGATATATAAATAGTAACAAATCAGAGTGAAGGAAAAAGAAACACCAGCTACCCTCACCTGAATCACTATATAACCATATCCATAGAACAGTTCACAACAA